AATTGTTGATTCATTTGATCAACTTCGAACTGAGATCAATGTTCTCCGCAGAGTGTGCTTTAATTTAAGACGGCGATATCAGGGAAACCAAATCGTTTTGAAGCTTAGGACCAGTAAATACAAGATCATTGAGAGAGTATCCGTTGCTGGTTTTAGCAGATGCGTCAAATACTACTCTTATTTTAGAAGAATTAGCTCGAAGAACTGGATGATGTGGGATATAATAGGAAGATAGATGGTTATAACTGGGTGAAGGAACGAGAGACATATGTCCTTTTGCCAGGTAATCCTCCATAAATTCTTTGTATTTGTCATAGACGGTGGAATTTTTAATTAGTCTTTTTTCCAGAGATAAAAATCTTCGTAAGGCTTGTGAGTAAGACTGACCTAACTCAGGACTTGCAGTTTTAAAAATGAATTTAACCATAAATCGACTATTATCCATGCGTTGGTAATTATTTACGAATTCTCCTTCGCATCTGATGTCTTCTGGCGCCTCGGTAATACTATTTTTGACCTGATCTAGTTCCCAGAATTTTTGGAGGTACTGATCTAAAGATGGCTCGACCAAAAGAGAAATATTGGCAGTTGTGTTATTATTCTCAGAAGTTTTACCCATCAACAGCCATCCAAAAATTGACCCTATTGCAGCTGGCTCGTCCACATCACCAATACGACGTTCTCCAGTGAAGATATGCGGAACCAATTCAGCTCCAAGAAGAAGATCAATACAATTTGGAGATGTTTGACTTGGTGAAATTTTTAAATCTCGAAGGTGATTGTATTTGGATATATCAATGGTAGTTTTTGGCTGGTAAGAACATATATTTTTGGATATGATAGCTGTAAAGTTTAGTACGGGATGATTACTCTCATGCGGCGTAACGTCACATTCAACTGAACCCTGGTTACAATTCGACTGCATGTTGTTCAACTCTTCTATCGTGACAGATCGGATGCTCTTGGTAAGTTGTAACGTTTTTTGTAATCTTTCAGTTATAAAATTGATCATGTTACACGAATCAATCAGAGCCCTCACACGATGATAACCTCCAAAACGATCCTGGATGTCTAATTCAGCAACAGGGCGAACCACAGTAAGCATAGTATTCATAATGGAGCCAACAGTATTATNCAGAAGTTTTACCCATCAACAGCCATCCAAAAATTGACCCTATTGCAGCTGGCTCGTCCACATCACCAATACGACGTTCTCCAGTGAAGATATGCGGAACCAATTCAGCTCCAAGAAGAAGATCAATACAATTTGGAGATGTTTGACTTGGAGATGTATTTGGATATATCAATGGTAGTTTTTGGCTGGTAAGAACATATATTTTTGGATATGATAGCTGTAAAGTTTAGTACGGGATGATCACTCTCATGCGGCTTAATGTCACATTCAACTGAATCCTGGTTACAATTCGACTGCATGTTGTTCAACCCTTCTATCGTGACAGATCGGATGCTCTTGGTAAGTTGTAACGTTTTTTTGTAATCTTTCAGTTATAAAATTGATCATGTTACACGAATCAATCAGAGCTCTCACACGATGATAACCTCCAAAACGATCCTGGATGTCTAATTCAGCAACAGGGCGAACCACAGTAAGCATAGTATTCATAATGGAGCCAACAGTATTATCTACAGAGACACACTTGCCTTCAGATGAAGGTTCCAAAGCAACAGCAGGACGAGGTAAATGCAGCAATGAATGGTGGCGCTTTTTGCAGGTACGACAAGTGTTCGTAGAATTACATCTACTTGTTGAATGACGATTTCCCAAACAGTTTTTGCACAGATTGTTCTTATTAACAAACTCCAACCGTTGTGCGGGCGTTTTATCATAAAATTGTGAACAATTGTATAGGTTGTGAGCATCATTACACAATGAGCAATGAAAATTACTTAATTTCAATTTCAGTTCTGTGGCGAAGCTTGATGGATTGGTCTTGAATGGTCGGTTGGCATTAGATTTGATGTCCTTGGAGCTTGTTGAAGTGAGTTTCACTGCATCCAAAGCTTTGGCTTGATTCTCAAGGAAGGTCATCAGCTGTACAGGGTGGTTCAAATTCGATGTCCGAATAGGCTAACTCGGAAACTATAAGAGTTAGACAAAAAGTAGCTTACATGTCATGATCTCGTTTTTCGAGAAACTGCTAATGCCGAAAACCTCATAGCGCTATCGTCTTTTGTTTTTCCCCTAGAGGCCAAAATTGGAAATATCGTAAAACCAGCAAGTGCAATTATCTTCGTTATTATTATAGGTGGAGTATTATAACTAAGACATTATATGGACACTTTTTTATAGAGAATTGGATGACGTAGTCAAAAAAATTTTTTCGGTTTTAGATTTTGAGATATTATCACAATTTTCGTTTTTTTAAATGGAAACAACCACTGATTATTCGCTTATTAAATTCGTTATTTTTTTCTGATTACAAAAATATAGGGTTCGACAGGTCTATTTCTTATTGTTTTAGAATAAAGCTAAAAATAAACTTTTTTTATAAAATTTCCATCTAGTGTCGTCGAGGAAATTAAATTTACAGTTTCCTGTAAGTTACGGGGCGGTAGGTAAAATCTAAAAAGTTAACAATTAAATACGAAGATAACTTCTGGTATTTAAAAACAAATAATTTTTTAATATGTAACATTCTAACATGTCAAACTTTTCAAAATTTTCGTAATTGATCTTAAAAACAGGATTTTTAAAGTGACACTTCAGAAAATTTTTGAATACAAACAAATGTTGCTATGTTTATTTGAATTTAAAAAAAAACATGAGCGCCATCTATCGATAATTTATTAAGTAATTTAAAAATAATATTAAATCGTAATAAAAAATGTGAAATAATGCAATCTATTCCAATTTTTGTGTAAAACATATATAAATTAAACAGTTCAACAAATATATTTGTTTCAAATATCAGAAATATGTTTTTTTAATTTTTAGTTATAGAACCGTAATTTACAGGAAACTGTAAATTTAATTTCTTCGACGACACTAAAAGAAAAGTTTATTTTTAGTTTTATTCTAAAACAATAAGAAATAGACCTGTCAAACCCTATATTTTTGTAATCAGAAAAAAATAACGAATTTAATAAGCGAATAATCAGTGGTTGTTTCCATTTAAAAAAACGAAAATTGTGATAATATCTCAAAATCTAAAACCGACAAAATTTTTTTGACTACGTCATTAAATTCTCTGTAAAAAAGTGTCCATATAATGTCTTAGTTATAATACTCCACCTATAATAATAACCAAGATAATTACATTTGCGGGTTTTACGATATTTTCAATTTTGGCCTCTAGCGGAAAAACAAAAGACGATAGCGCTATGAGGTTTTCGGCATTAGTAGTTTCTTAAAAAACGAGATCATGACATGTCAGCTACTTTTCTTCTAACTCTTATAGTTTTCGAGTTAGCCTATTCGGACATCGAATTTGAACCACCCTGTACATACGTAGGTATTTCGAAATTGTCTAATTTTTGTAGGAGAATGATGATTGATGATAAGTTTTTTATAATAATTTGACTTTTTTAACGATGAAACACGTGAGACATAATAACTTTTTTAGAAATATTTATACTAACCTTGAAATTTTCAGAATTTATTATAAATATATTATAACACGTCCTTCAGGATTTTAAATTTTTAACTTTAGGTTGTTACGAAAAACATTTTAATAACATTTCAATTTGAATTTTTTGTGATGGTTTTGAAATATTTGCCTGATGAAGGAATAAGTTATTCCGAAACTTGTTGTACCGAAATAAATTTTAATAGAAAATATAGCTTCATCGTAGAGTTTTAATAGTTCTATCATTTTTCCATAAACCTGCAAGAGTTTATCTTCGTGTAAAAGGAAAGTCATTGTAACTGTTGATGCTTAAGTGGTCGATATTTGCCTCTTCCCCCTACATAATTTGGTTACTCCAGTTAATTATAATTATATTTTCAGCAGGAGGTTAACAACTAGTTGTGTAATATTAACATGTATTGCAGGTGTGCGGGCGCAAGAAGCGAGGAGAATCTAATGAGCGCAGAGTATAAGAAGCTCGGGAAGGTACCTCGGGATCATTACTCGCTTATCTGTCATGATTCCGCGATAATCTTCGCCTTCGTATGGACTTTACAATTCATAATTCCTAGCAACCGTAACATCCTGTGCGGCGGTAATTAGCAAATAGGCGTCGAACACGTGCGCGACGCACGTTGAGTCTCTTTATTACGGAAATTTATTCGCCGATTTGCATAGACGCCGCTGCTGTTTGAAATTATAACAATACGCGGGGATAATGATCGTAGTAATTGCACACCTTAGGCACCTTAAAGCCTTTTGTGGTTATTATTAACACACACGTAAACACGGAGTTTAATATGCGTATCAGGTTTTCTAACAGTTAACAAAGGTCAAAAAACTTTTTTATTAAAATCCGCTTCTAAAACCTCTTTTTTACGACTTATTTTTATTGGTTTTGGGGATCAAAACAACGCATTTTCAAAGAAACTTAACGAACTTAAGAATCGGTATTTTGAGGATACCAGGGCAGTAAATCGCGTTTTATATGTTTTGTTAATCGGGAAATACTGCTTCTTAACTGTAAGAAAGTTTTTATGGCTTAATACGGTTCCGATGCACATATTAAGAGATGTCCCATTTTTAGGGAGATAACGAAAGGTTTTAACGGGACCAGAACCTGATTCGAGTGTCCCTAAGTTGTTTTTTTGAGACCACTCATTTCCAGCGGAACTGGTTGCAACTTAATTAAATTTAAAACAAGAGTGTTCTTAATGTTATTCTTTATTAATCTTATTCATTAATTAAGTGTACCATAAACATAAAAAAATGTTTCTTCGATTTAAACATAAACAGATGTTATCTAACTGTTTTTACTTTCGATTAAATAAAAGTAATTGTGTGTGAAAATAGCAAAGTCGCATCTGTTACTTGGTGTGTAACTTGAAGGCGATGCCTTGGTAAAGAGCTTTTGTTAGAAGAGAGAATTGTTTCGCATCAGTATGAAAACGACAGGTGGTCGAAAGATAGCTGTCTCTATAGAAACTATCAAGCTGCTGATTGTTCCGCTAATTTGAAAATAAACGACGCTGTCCGTCACACCACGTGTTATTCGTAAATGTTTACTCAAAGATGATGATATTTACCATACAAGAATACTTACCAGGAAAGTATATCTCTTTATTTGGATGTATTATTTGTCCTTTCAACGGTAAAAAAACGAAAGGAATTTGTTGGGATGATGAACTTCCAGTAAACGGTGCTAAAGGACATTCTGAAAATGAAAAAAAATAATTATTAGTTGTTTTGTTTACTGACATTAATCGAGTATTTAACGAGAGGTAGTTAAGAAAAAGAAAAAATGGGAAGAAACTTTTAACCATCTTTAACAGTTAAGCGTCATCTGCTCTTCAACATTGTGAATTGCTTTATTACCCTATTACACTTAACGATTCCTTCGACGAAGTACGCCATGTGGTCGAAATGTGTACTCTACCTTCTGAAGCAACTTACATTAGTCCCATTGACATTTATTAAAGACACGATATGGTGATTTAATGCTTACTTAAAAAAAAATTATTGCTTTTGCTTCTACAGGGTGTTCCGGTGACTCGGGGCATAAAATTAACCTCATATAGTAGAGCAAAAATGATAAAGATTCAAAAATTCTAACACATTTTTCTAAATATTTTCAATACCATTTATGGTAGAGCGTTGAAATTTGATAGAGGGTAAATATCAAGCAAAATCATTGAACCAATTTTGACTTTGATCGAGCGGCGGCAACCATGCTATACAGGCTGTCCCTAAAATTTGTTTGCTCAGAACTTTTTTATTCACTGGTAACCCTACATTTATTTTTGTACTTTTTAATAGAAAATTTATTTTAGAAACTTTTATCACTCTTTGAAAATTTTGATAACATTGACCGTTTCCGAGTTATACGCGAAAATATTAAGCTTCGATTTCAAAGGTAACACTAAAAAATAAAGTCTTCAAAAAAGTCAAGGTTGGCCATGGCAATTAAAAAAAAACAACTTGCTGTCAACTTGCTCATGTCGTTTAAACACAAACGATA